TAATTTAGGCTCTATCTCGGCGCCGTGACAGCATCATACTGTTGCCCCAAATAGGTAGCTGCGGTAATTTGATTAATCTAAAACAATAGCTGTGGTTTTCCACCCACAAAAGTCAATATATTCACTCAAGCGATGAACTCACGCGTTGTTGAGGAATGTTTTCAAAGGAACATTTGTGCGACTGGAATCACGACTAGCAACCAAACAGCTCGATTTTTCGGCGTTGGGAGCATTCAAGGACGTAATATCCCTTTAAGTTAACTTTAAAGTACATTACGTCATGGAATGCGCCCAGTAGGGCTACAAAATGGGTTTTAAACGAAATAATCTTGATTGGACAAAGCATTTCAAAGTAGGATATAAACGTCCACACAACCGTCCTTTAAAAACTGGGCAATTTCGTGTTATTCCTGTGAGAACGAATTTCTTCAAATCGTCTTTGAGCACATTTTGTGTTTCTGATGAGATGAAATAAATATTCAAGAGAATTGAACAATCATCAATGATCTCCCGGCCTCTTCTTTAATTAGTGGACGAACCCCCGCCCTGGAACTAAGAACAGGGTAGGGCTCTACGGTACAGCCCGATAGTCCGAAGATTCTTTAGTCCGAAGGTTCTTTAGCCCGAAGGGTCATTAGTCCGAAGGTTTGTTAGTCCGAAGGTTCAATAGTCCGACGGTTCGATAGTCCGAAGGTCCGATAGTCCGAAGGGCCCATTAATCCGAAAATAGAATAAGGTTAATTAATCCGAAGGTTCGATAGTTCGAATCGACAATAAGGTTCGATAGTCCGAATATATGATAAGGTTCGATATTCCGAATATACGGTAGGGTTCAATTGTCCGAATTGACAATAAGGTTCGATAGTCCGAATGGGCAATACGGTTCGTCAGTCTGACACTTCGGACTATTGGACCTTACTGCCGATTCGGACTATCGGACCTTACAGTCTTTTCGGACTATCGAACCTTTTTGTCAATTCAGAATATTAAAGGAACCTTCAGACTGTTGAACCTTATTTTCGTTTCGGACTATTTAACTTCCGACTAATTAACCTCATTCTAAATTCGGACTACCGAACCTTCGGAAAAATGAACCTTCGTACAAAAGAACCTTCGGACTATCACACCTTCGGACTTTCGGGCGGCCCCCGAGCTCTACACTAGGACACATTTTATGCCTCAACATTTTCTTTATAGAAAGGGATTTTTTTATCACCATCAGCGAAGGGCTAGCGCCCCCTATCAACATTAAACAAGACAGCTCTTCTTCACCTGGGTGATTCCGGCACGAGAAGATATCGATTTAACAATGCCAGAGCTAGAACACATTTTTAGTCTTCCTGACGAAGAGGTGGTTTGTCTGTCTATATGGAGATTACTCAACAATGTGGTCGCATCGTACAGCAATCGATTATTCCCGATTGATTTTGAACCTGACTCTGGAACTCACTGAATTAAACAGCGGTTGCGCGTTGCACCTGTCGCGACTCTCACATGACTGATCGCCACTTTACGTAGAATGAACAAAACAAGTCAGGTGGACCCCTTTGTTGGAAAATTTATAAATTCCAGGAAACACGAGACCTCCTTCCTCGATCTTCCCTTTACGAGCTGTGAAGTGATTTCGTGTCGGGCGTGAGGCAAACATCAGTATTTTCTACACCTGCAGCATGCATCTGTTTTCAACTGGGTATTCTATCTGCAGCTTTGTCAGGGAGGGTATCAATTAGTAAAATGTTATCTCCTTCTGAAGCAAAACGTAATGTGATGTTCAGTCAGAGTGTATGCCGGGGTGGCTGCATGGGCGTCGCGAGGGGGGGGGGCCAAGGGGGGCACTTGCCCCCTCCCCCCCGGAAAATGCAAAAAAAAAAGGAAAAAGAGAGGTGCGAAGCCATATTGCTGTTAATTTGACGGGGGGGGGGGGGGTAGGGCAAATGCTCCCCTACTCATGCTAGCAAAAATGATAAATTGAGAATATAATGAAACAGTTAAGGAATTTTGGGGAAAAATTTGCCTTGCCCCCCCCCCCGAAAAAAATCCTGGCGACGCCCATGGTTGGCTGTTTTCTAGCTTGCAGGACATGAGATCAGTATCCGATGGTGTTAAGAAGCAACCCTGAAATCGATACACTACGGTTATTGGGTCGGTATTGCGATCCGCAAGTCACCAGAATCGAAGTGTCATCGAGTGGGATCACGTCATCATATTCCTATCAACATTCGTCTGCCTGCTAGCAGGGAGCCAGTTCCACCGCGGTAACGAGAGAGGCAGAAACAGCTGCTGCGTCGGGCCGCGGAAGTCCGATGCGCGCCGGTTTCCTGTTGACGTACGCACACGTACGGCCAATGGATCTCTTGTATACGATCGGGCCTGAGTTCCATACGTAGGTGACGTATTCGGTGTTGATATCGGTTGACAAAGTTTAACCCCGTTAGGGATCAAAAGAGTATTTTTTTTTAAAACATCTTCAAGATGTTTTTCTTCCTTACGACACCAAGGCGAACTAGGGTATTTGGTACCATCTCTATCTTCACTTTGGAGCTTCTACATGTCACTTGGTGGTCGGTCGGTCAGTTTGTCTGTCTGTCTGTCTGTCTGTCCCCGAAAATTGACCAAAATAGTCGACCAAAAATTGACCAAATGCCATGCCGCCTCGTCAGTAAATGCACTCTTGACGAACGTTATCTGAAAACGGGCTTTGTCTCGATCGATGCGCATGCGCGTCTATTTTGCACACATGTTTGTCTAAAATTGACCAAAAATGAACCCCCTAAGTTTACCATAAAATATAGCTACCAAGGAAAAAAAGCAAACAAAAGAAATAAAATACTTACCAAAATTGTTTGGAACAAAGTTGTTAAAAACAATTTTGAGTCAAGATAATGTGCAGTAATAGTCACGTATAGTATAAAGCACGCTATTTTTATGGGAAACTTAGGGTTTTTGGGGGGGTCAATTTTCAGCGCGTGATTTTCGCGTGGGACGGTGGCCCCATAGATATAGAACTTGTTATTTTAAGTTCTATATCTATGAATGGCCCGGGCTTGTACGCACAATTATTGTACGCACCAAGAATTTCATGCAAGGCGGCCAGAGCTTATTGTGCACTCGCACTTGTTTTCTCACTATATCCGTCGGTCACTTTCCGGGTATAATTGTTCCTACGTGTCTTTAAAGCTAAGAAATTGCTGTCCATCAACTCCTCGATCTAAGCAAATAGTCCAAAACCCCGTCGCTCACGTTGACATTAAACTGGGAGGAACATTTCTGACGTCTTCCACAGGGAAAGATTTTCTGGACTGTTTAAATTTCCGTCTAGATGACGGGGACTGCGCCGTCTGAATTCCTGATCGACGGTACACTGGTGGCGAAGTCGCCATGCAGGACAGACACTGGGGTTATTTATGGTAAATAAAGTAAAGGTCGGCATATAATTCCCTGCAGGGTTTGGCCCGCATTCGTACACACAATATATACGTACATTCATAATAATATAAACATGCGTACCATTTACGATGATGTAAATACGTACATGTAAATGACTACAGCATGGTAATTACTTTTTCAAGCTAGACTTGCATAGTAATTAAAAAAAAAAAAATCTGGATACTCCTGACTTGTTTGTCTGTTGAAAATATAAAGTATTGATTTGCATAATGCATAGCATTCGCCTTGCACAAACAGGTGAATGTGTATAACTAATCTGACCTTTTGCATATTCCACAGGCTCAATCTGTGCACCATGTAATCAAATTTTACCGTTATTAATTTTTGGCATATTCCTCTATACTCGATCTGTGCGGCGTCTAATTTGAAAGGCAAGAAAAGGCCACGACCCCTCAACTGACATTCTCAGTCGTATCGTGTATTCCGTTCCGTACAACAAGAAGAAATGTTGGAGGCAATTATACGGACATTAATTTGCACCAGATGAGGCCCGTTTCGCCGGGTTCGTACTATAGCCAATCAACGTGCAAGCCAAACCAGCTTGAGCACGTTGCGAAGTTCGTGATTTGAGTGCATTATATTTTATGGCATTCGAGGCCTCAGATATCAAATTAGAGTTTTTTGGGGCCTCAGCCGGTAAACTGATACAGTTCCTTAAAAAACTAGCATAGAACGCGAGTACATTCAATTGTGTCATCCGGATCTCCAAGACAAATGTTTGTTTGCGTTGCTCGCCAATAGTGTCTTCTGTTCGGCGTTCCTTTTCAAATCCTGTGAGTTGCCACCAAGCCAAATAAATATCCTTAAGGGAATCCAAAACCCAATATAGGAGGAAATGTATCTCGCACAGGTTTTCCTCTCGACTCGGATGCGGTTCTAAAGGATCGTCTTTCCGAGCCAAGCACGTTGTGAAAATAACCCAATGTTTGCTTATGAATTCGCTCAGAGAGGATACACTTTGCATAAATAATGATTTCGCAAGTGGTGGATATAGGAGGGGGTGGTGCGGCGGGGGCACCCCCCTCCCCGCAATGACCGAAATGTTCTCCAATAAGGCCATTTTTTTTTCAATTGACAGAAACCTATTACTGCCCCGGCACACCTTCCACCCCCGACAGTAACCTCACTGGATCCGCTCTTGTTTGCATCATGATCCGCTCCACGAACCCCAATCTTGTTAAGGACTAACTGCATTTATATATTAACATGTATTTATATCACAAAATTAACAAGTCAGCAATAAACCTATATGCGCAGGAAGAAAATGAAGGAAAAAATCCATCCCTTCGTTCCGACGAGTCGTAATTGCCGGCCAGACAGAATACATCTGTCACACGCGGCCGCTGTTGGTTTGATGCGCGGCGAGATTATGGTGGATGAATCGCCTGCGATGTGCTGGCAGCTCATGCAAATTCATCACACACCGGCGAGGGACCAACCAATCACGACAGCCGGTTGCTCCTGTGCGCGCGCCCAGCACGTGACTCCTGACTTCGCGCCGTCGGTATTAGCGACTGCAGGCGAGTTCATTTATTTTCGCCTGCCCAGTCATTACGCGCGCTGTCCGCAACGTGGCGTGCGCGCTACCGGACGGGATCCAATGTACACCGTCGCTTCTGTCAAAATCTCAATTAGCATACTCGGTGGCTTCATCGGAACCCAGATAGTCGTTGTGATGCCATTTTATTTTGTGTTTACGCACAAAGTTGGAGCTGCAAGACTGAACATGCCACCGTTTATAAAGGGGTTAGCATGAGAGATCGCCAATTTGTTGGACGGCAGTTGGACATGTAAGACACTCGCTGTATGTTCCAGCAACAACACAGACCTTAGAATCCGCAGGCGTTGTTATCGATCCGCCAAACTGCTGAACTTGGTCTGGACAACTTAACATCACACGAAAGTTTACGAATATTCTACGACCAAACACGCTGCCGTCAGCGCTCAGCTATGGCTTGACGGGCCGGTTATAAAACCCAGACGAAGCGACTATATGTTGCCACAGCCAATTGCCTTAGCCTGATAGAAGAGAAGGGGCATCGAACACACGCAACTAAACGATTGTCCTATTTCATGTGTTTTACATCGGGAAACCGACTAGCCAGCAACCATGACGAATGAGAGCGCAGAAGATGAACAAACCATGCACGATAACATGTCGGATTACGAGTTGTTCCCAAACTCTTTGCACAGTCCCGGGGCAAGGGCTATTATCATCATCTGCTTCGCCGTTACCTGCCTGATGGGCATCTTTGGTAACGGCCTGATCTGTTTGGTGCTCATTCGACGGCCCAAGATGCGAACGGTCATCAATCTCTTTATTGGTAACCTGGCCCTGTCCGACCTGGTACTGTGCAGCTTTGGAGCCCCTCTGTCGCTCTCTTCCTGGCTGACTCCTCAGTGGCTTTTGGGCCTGGCCCTGTGCCGCATCTACAGCATGATAACAGGCTGCATGGTGTTTGTGTCCTCTCTAACATTCACCGCAGTCGCCATTGACCGCTTCTGCCTTGTCGTCTACCCATTCCTTCGCCCGATCACAAGAAGGACTTGTTTCATCTCCATAGCGATCATATGGGTGGTGTCGATTGGTATGATTCTACCCATTGGCTTGCAGACTTATGTCATTGATTTTAGTGTTGTTGATAACAACACCGAGGGGATTTACTGCATGGAGCTGTGGGACGATTTGGACGGTCGCCGAAAGTACAGCATAGCAATCTTCGTACTGCAGTTTGTCTATCCCCTGCTCCTGGTGACTGTCGCCCACACCAGCATAGCGATCAAGTTAAAGAGAAACGTGAAACCGGGGGCTCGGAGACGGGAGAACGACGCCCAGGAAAACAAAAGGCGGAGTCGAACAAACAGAATGTTGTCGGCCGTGGTGACGGTGTTTGCCGTCTGCTGGTTGCCGTTTTGCGTGTTCTCTCTCGTGGCGGAGCTCTACGTGGGCTCTTTAGCCTTAGATCCTATCGTCTTTGTAGTCGTCTATCTTCTCGCCATATCCAGCACGTGGCTGAACCCTATGCTGTACGCGTGGCTCAACGATAACTTCCGCAAAGAGTTTCACCGGCTCATGCCGTGCGTGCCATGCCTCAGGGAAACGCGGAACGTCGGCTGCGTCAAAGTGAACACGCCCGGGGCGTCCACGACGAATTTCGCGCAGGACAGGCGCCCTCAGTCCAGCATGGCGACGTACCTCCAGCCTAGCTCTGTAGAGAAGAGTTCGTCGGGTAAAAGTGGGACGCACGACACGTCAATGTGACGTTTTGCTGACTAAAAGAACCTAACTTTCCAAACAATACTGAATGGTAACACGAAGTAAGCTGACTTTTTAGTTTGAGGATTCCCTGTCTCAGATTAAACTGTCAGCTCATGGTGCTTTTCAGGTCTAGGAATGAAAACCTGAAACTTAGTAAGGAGCAACGTCAAGTATATGTCAATTACCTACTGCAAGAGACACGCAAGATGGCCACTGCCCTAATCAAGCCATGGTGCCCTCTTCCAAGTTGCGAGATATTTGACAGGTAAGACACTCAAGGAGGCGACTGTCTGCATTGTATTCCCCTGCTAAAGATTCTCAGGTGGTCTGGAACCTTTGGCAGGAGAGTCTTGCAGCTGTCAAGGAGTAAGCAAGGGAGCAGACTTTACACGCCCAGCTGGTGGGTCATCAGTGACCAACTGTACATAGACTTCTTTTTATCCATTTTTGGCAGAGGAGGCTGTTTTGGTGGCTGGCCCACTTTACCCTCGGTAGAAAGTCGACCTGGCCCCTCATGCGGGAGCATGGATAGCTTTAATTGTGTTTTTTTGTTATTAAGAAACAAAGTAAATGGACGTATTTTATGAGCAAAATAGTACGAATTTAGTCATTTTATCGTAATTTAGAGTACCTAGTGTTCACTGACTTTAATCACATGTCCTCGTGAGCGATGTTCTTTCGATTTGTTGGTTCATGATTTTATAATGTAGCGTTATTCGAAATAATGTCTGTACGAATTTAAGGCAAAATTTCATATTGACATCACTGAAGCGAAACCACTGAAGGCCAAGCAACTCATCAAATGTTTTTCGCCCATTAAGCCTGAACTCCCTGCGAACTACCGCTGGATATGGTTTGCTGGTTATGATAATGATTGCCTTTGTAAATTTCAATGGTGTTATTTGCCTCTCGTGGTCTTCGCTAAGAAAACAAAGTAAGACCATTATCAGCAAACACAGTCATGCACAGGAACGAAAATATTCCGGCTTTTGACAGTAACAATTTTTATGTCTTCTGAAATTATTCACATTTCTCCAGGAGACACCCATAAGGAAAAGAGGCAGGCGAATCCAGGTTGTAAATCCTGAACCAACAAATATTACGGTATAAATTTGGATGGAGATATCGGTTTTGTGTGTTCAAATAACACACGACTGATGGCACCAAACCTTCGGTATAGAAATGGCGCTTCAATTTGCCCCTCCGCTCCCACTTCCGCATTTCGCACAACTGATTGGTTCCCTAATTGCCAGTGACATTTGAAATTGTACAATTTTCATTTATTTTTGATCAACCCCGTGATTAAAAAAAAGTCGTGGACCACAAAATGGCAGGTAAGCAAAGCCAACTCCAAAAGAAAATAAACACCCCTCCAAAAAAAGTAATTAAAAGGATTTAATTACTGCACTCATTCTTGCTTGAAAAATAAACAATCATGCCGTAAACTTGCAAAGACGTGCAGTTCATTCCAATACTGACATAATGTGCGGCACTTTGTGAAAAATTGTCCCATGATAGGCTATACGGTGTTCCACGGCTTTTTCCCCTCAAGTTTCTGTAAAGTCGTCAATTCAGTGCAAAAAACCTCGTATCCCTAAATGATATCAAAATGTCTACAGTATACACGTTGTCAGCCATTTTGAAACCGTCCGCGTATCAGCCGTTTTAGGCAATTTCAGTTACGGTTTTCTGCAACAGCATACCGACAAACCAATGCGACTCTTTCTGTGTGCGCGTGTTGTGGAGCTAACGCAACATTGGCGTGAATTAACGGTACTTTCGACATTCTTGCACTGTGGTTCATGTATTCGGTGTAACAAGTCAGTGTATAAAAAGATCGTACTCTCTAAATGTTAAAGAGTGAAAAACCACTCCAAGTTGCCCCCATGGCTCTTTAGAAAGAGTGGAAGTTAATTCACTCTTTTTAGAGTTGTTTCACCTGGGGCAAAGTGAAAACCACACAGACAGTTGCAAACTTCATTTTAAAAGATAGAAAAACCGCAACATAAAGTGGTTTTCACTCTTTCACATTTAGAGAGTAGCCCAAATACTCGAGTTGGACATCGCCTGGTACAAGTCAGTGAAAAAAAAGTCACCCGCTGCACGTGTTTTGCTACTGTCACGGGAACATTGTTATTGTAATTATTTCTGATACCACTCTTAATTAAGTGTCAGTCAGCGGGATACTGTTGTTCTCATTAACGCAGCTTTGGATATTTGAACCGTAACTGACGACCTAACCAGACCACACAAGGAAAAGAAATCACATTGATATTTAAGATATATACCTTTCAGTTAAATTAACTTGGACGGAAACAACCCAATTGCCGCGGATAGCACACTTATGTTTAATTTGGTTTCAAATTAACTGTCGAAGCAAGGGAGTACGGTATCTGTTTCCCACAATTGTTGATCAGCCCGACGTGACAGGTTTTTTTTCCCCGAGCGATAAACAGGATTCTATTCTACTGTGGATTTATCAATCAAAAATATTGTTGATAGTGAGTCATGTCAGAGGCGTGAATCATAACGCTACATACGTGACACTATCTCTCTTTGGAAATATGTAAACATGGACGATAAGCATTTATTTATATAGCATGTACATACGTGATACACATTCACATAAGCACGAGGGCCTTAATGAAAAACAGGTGCTCAAATGCGAATGTTTATTTAACAGTGATCAAAAGCCGTTCGCTTATTAAAATGCATGCATATCCAAAGCTTACAGAAATTCCCGAGAACTTGCGACAAGGTCACCTTCACCGCTCGCCGATGCAATGTCAAGCCCATCTCTTTTGGGCCTCATTTCCATTTTTCCCCCATGTGCATTATTCTTCTTCATAGCCATTTCATGATTCTTGATGACGGAGGATTATCAAATAAAAGCCCGCGGCGAACGCGAGCCTTGTGGAAATTGGCCTTGAAGGCTGAATGCTGACTTTCTATATGAAGCCCCTGGAGAGAGGGCCGTTCAATGGAAACACGCTTTTAACCTTTTATGCTCGACAACATCCCGATATTCATCCTTGGCTCGAAATGACGAATTCGTTTCACTCGAGCACCTGAGCATCTGTCCTGACAAACAGGCTAATTTGTCATTACATTTAATAGGACGGCATAGACAGATAGCCACACAAGAAAAAAAACTAAGACCAGGAAAATGTAGGTCTCTTCCTTAGAACGCTTAATGGAGTTTTTATCAAAACATAACCAGCCGGCAGTTGTAGTATAGGGAATACAGATGAATGTGTTTTGGACTCTTGAGAGTAGCCAGACGCTTTTGGTATTTTGCGATGCAATGATACGAAGAGCTTCGCGTAGGGGCTGTCCACAATGAAACGTTTCTGGGCGTGGCATGGTTTATAGCAGAACAAAATTTGTTTAACCCATTAAAATCAGCCCTAATTTTGAGGTTTTTTTTTTTTTTACTAAGTTCATTCCTGGGACAACTTTCATTTATATTCTTTCATTTATAATGTTGTGGGGTTTAATTTACTCAGAAGAAAATCGACTGCAGAAAATTACTCGGATACTGCCTCCGCAAACCAATCATACGCTCGATTAACGAAAAAGATATATTAACTACATTTAACAGATGAATTATTCAACCTTGTACGAGTTTAATGATGACACAAATTGTTTATTTAGAATCAAGTTAATATGTACAGCTGTTGGAATTTTTTTTTCTAGTTTGATATACTCCGATGACGACCTGTGGACATTTTATCCGATTATCCATGCACATTTTAGGGTTGAATACACAGTGGCGTGTGCATTACTCAAAGTTTCTCCTGGATTAATGAGGCACCGTGTTCAATCGGCAGACACAATAACCCTTGGCGAAAAGTACATTCGGAACAGAGTGCGCGATGGGTTTAATATCTTCTCCAGCCCCCGGGGCCAAGAAATACGGAAGCGACGCCGAGCGCTGTGTCAAAACACAACACGCATGGCAGTGCAGCGGCGGCGCGGACCGCGGAAAAGAAGACACAATCCGCGATGTCATCTTTCATCTTCTGCGAATGAGGGTGGCCCTGGAAGAAGAAGAAAAAAGACATGTCATTTTGACCTGAAATGTGGTTTGGAAACAGGTCCCTCCGTGACGGCCTTGTTGGAGCGTGAAACTCCATTAATGGCCGGAGAGACAGTAAACATACTGCCGCGGCCATAAATAATTAACCTCCGTTTATGAATAGATCATACCGTACAATGTCAACACGCATTCTGATCAGTAGTACAACCACTTCCATGTACGAGGAAAACAAATATCTAACGGAGCGTATAGTCTGAACTCTTACCGGCACGCTCGTGTCGCTACAATCGAATTCTACGAGGAAACGAAATTGTGTATCATTTTAAGTTAATGACATTCTAAATGCTAAATATTCCTCTTTTTTGTTCACACCGAGCCGTAACGATTTTTTAGATGACTTGCGCACTGGTTTTGTTTCACCAATTTCGTAAATTTCGGACGTGCCGTTCTTGCGAAATGTCAAATTTTCGATCGCTGGTCGGCCGAAAAAGGTTAACTTTTTTCATTAATGTTGTACAGAAAACAGCGTGCAATATCACGGACCGTGGTGTAAAGTATTAATTACAATAATAAGTACACAACCGTTTATTTGATTTGGCTAAAACGTTACCGAAGTACTGAGCGTGGGTGTCAGATTTCAGTAAAATCTCTTATTGCATCGCCGAGGTCTGAGGACAGCTAATGCAACCTACAGTAGCCTTTGAAAATGTTTTTAAAAAGTTCCTATCGGCTTTAATTGCGTTTTCACAACTCATGTTGTGTGAAAAAACATACAAAGCTCTCGCTGCGTGTGACTCAAAACGGCCTGGAAAATAATGTTGCCTAGAGAAAGAGAAAAAGAAAGTAGATGCGGAGAGAAGACTCGTGCAAGATGCTAAGACATTTCGTTCTGTCCTGGGAAAAAAAATGAGTATCAGAGAACTGCATCTTAATTTGACCATTATTTTCCTATACAGCCTCGCCTCGTCCGCCAGTCAGTGTGCTGTATTCGCTTTGTGCTGTATTCGAAGTATCACATATTCATGTGATACTGCATGTGTTGTTTTGGAATTTCTAAATACACCTGTATCTAAAAATGTCCCAGTCAATCATGAATCCCTTTGCATCGTTAATGACTCGTCTGTTACTTTAGAAAATGTAATGCCTTCGCGTCAGTCCCAAGTTCTTGGGTGATCCTTTTCACCTGCGACTCTGTTAGGCTATTGGCCTAGTATATATGAACAAGATAATAGGTAAAAGAACGCGCGATGGTTTACATTTTGACAGAAAGAGGAAATGAGGTTTTACACTTCACGTCTGTGAGACAGCAATGTAAACAGTAAAAAACACTCTGTTGAGTGCCAGCGGCTGTCTGCGAGTTGTTCGACTTGAGCATATCTTGCTCGACCTAAATTGGATAGGCCCAGCCTCATTTTCTCGCGTGGACAGTTTCATCTTTGGTAAACACGGCTCACTGAATTCCCCGACCACATGAAGGAAGTTGGCTTTTAACCTTGTTAAGCCAATTTTTTGGGGCTACGTTTTGGAGCTACCATAAATGAGATTAATACGAACGGACGGGGGCAAATGAGGCAGAAATAATGCAGTATAGTGGCTGCAACCGCTTGTATGTACTTTCTTTCTGCTGTGCGAGACTGCGGGTGTTTATGCAATCATTATACGAGTCCGAAAATGTCAGGGTTTAACTGGGACACGCGTCCCGGATCACGAGGGGCTTGACCGGGGATAATGTCTCGCGCCGATGGTCTCGCCCGGGCGCTGAGGATCGGGACTAGACATCCGACTCCCGATAGCCAGCAACGCAAACGGTCCTCGCGGGGGACCAACCGCTTGAAAGCTTACAATAATATCTTCGGCAGATATCTGTTTATGAATGGTACATGTGCATCATATTTTCAAACAGTGAATAGTGCAACAATCTCGATCATGTTAAGAACTCAAAACCATATTTGTTTTTCAATCGTTGTTTATCCCTATACAGGGCCTAGCTCCACACAATCAAAAGATATGAGTTGGGCCGAAGCAACTCGTGAGTTCAGTGTAGGTCAGACAATCCAGAAATCCGAAAGCTGCCGTAGAAGCCCTGGAGGGTCTCCTGCCCCTTCCCCGTTTAATCAGATCTCCAGGGCCAGTAATGTAAGACGAGTTGATATATTGGGGATGCCAGAACACCACTTTCTCGACGGAGTAAGTGCTTAATGAAAACCGAATCACTAATGTGGCGAATTAAGAGGGCTCGCTCGCGTTCGAAACTGCCAGCGACGCGTGCGCTGTATAATCCGAAGGATAAGGACGCTATAATGTAAAGTAGTAACAGCCGCCTTAGGAGAAGTTATTAATGCTAACCTGTAGGATTGCCTTGGGGAGTTTGGCCACTAAGCGGGCCTTGCTTGTCTCTAAAAATAGCTGCGAGAACCGCGCGCCATATTGCTCTCTTAAGCCCCGATACATCTCCGTCTATTATGCGCGCATATTTTTTTTAGACTTCGCAAATCTAGGTTCGCGCGCTGCGCTATGCGCTAGGCGAGGCCTGGCACATCTGAGGAGACGATAAGAATGCGGTGTGTAATTGAGGGAATTGAAAATCCATTTGGATCTCCCGGTTTCTGCCCGGTACTGGAATTGGAAATTGAATTTGGATGGTGATTGCTTAGACCATCAAAGGGGCTGTACTAATGGCCGGCTGAACCTGAATATGCGTGGTTCAATGTACTTAGGCTACCATGTATATCCACGGACTGGCAGGTATATGGTGCGGACGCTAAACCAAAAAAAGGGGCCGCAAAAAACACCGGTAGGCCAGAAACGGCTCTGCCTGTAATTAGCAGATAATGGACAATCAATACACGGCAGGAGCTGTCATGTGGCATGAATAATTTGCAAGAAGACGTCGGAATGTCATATTGACGGATCGTGTTTACTATGACAACCATATAGGCCTATACCTTTCGTGGTATTCCAACGGACCGACGTGACAAGACCAGACGGAAACGCATAACTGATTAAAACAAGGACATGTGTTTGTTTGTTTTTTTGACATTCACTGAAAAACGTACACTTGACGGTTTACCGAATCGCAAACACTTGAACTGCTCGACTGGCAGGGATGGAGTGATCATTGCAACACTGAGCGACATGACACGTTTTAGGGTTGAGATGGGGAAAGAGGCTGGATAGATTTCACAAAATGAATCTTTGACCTGTGATTTGAGGGGGGGGGGGGTCCGTAGTCGCCTTTACAAAAATGTCGTCTAGCCGTTTGCATTGAAATCGGGACAATTTTGTGGATTGATTGGATGGTTCTAATCTCCATAATTAATCGCCGTTTTTAACAGGTCCTTTTTAGGACATGACATACGACAATGACAAAACAAGACAGACTCTATGACGGCTGGTCCTCTCGACGTTTACCTTAGATGAATGAGAGGAAGTTACTGAACGCCTCACCCCCTTCAAATGTGTATGAACTAGGAAGAGGAGACTGCACTTTCTTATTTCAAGATATTTAAGTATCGAGGAAAAACATTACTTTTTATGCAGACTTATCCTGACATAAGCCATTCATCTGCATGGTTCGTGCCTTCACGTGGGCCGATCGGGGAAACTTATGATCGAATGCGATCATGTATTGCACTAAACTCGGACTTCCAAAAACGGTCCTCATTCGCGTCACTAGGACGAGACAAAAACGTGCCTTCGTCGTTCTCGTACTGGAAGCTTTCAATCACTTAAGCACATCAGTGTCAAATACATGCCTTCCTGAGCTTAATGTTTGACCTGGCCGCGTTCTAGGACAAACCTGAACGCTGAATCAAAATTCATTGCAACTTTTACGGGAGTGATATGCGCAACCTTTGAATTTGTACCAAGTGCACTTTTGTCTGCATGTCATTAGCATTTTCTTCTCAAAATATTACACAGACACTCTCTTGGATGGCGCGTTGAATTTGTTGTAAGCCTGTAATTTGATCTTAAAGTATTTCCTACTTTTAGATTGAATTTCAGTACGAATTTAACACAAAATCCAAGGAGTGTTTCTATGTCATTTCGAGATGAATATGTCATTTTGAGAAGAAACTGTGCTAACTGTGACTCTTATAAATCAAGTACAGACCAACCTGTCCCACATTACTGTGCTCGTACTACATCCATGGGTGGATAAAAATAACCGAAACCCGACCTAATATTTCATGTTAATGGTAACTACGATCTGACCGACGACTGACGCATTACGACAAAGACACGCAGCAATCAATCGGGAAGGTGAGGTGTAAGAAAGAGCCAACAATTTGTTGCCATGGTAACACGCTGATCGTCAATAATTGCGGCTCCCTTACGCGGCAAATGCCATGGACTAGTTTGCGCAAGTCTGCATCTAAAAATGTGGAATCAGCACAATTGAATATTGGATTTCCAGTGTCATGTCAACAATTGAAAAAATGCTTGGCGTTCAAGATGCAGCTGTAACTTAAGCACATCTAGATGTGCCAAAACGTATAGAAATGCCTACTCCTTACAGGACTTTTCGGCGCGGTTTATTGTACAGATTTTAATAAAGAATTCTAGTGTTCTGCTATACACTTGAACAACTCATGTATCGCCAAAGCATGAGTGGCTATCAAGAAAAGAATAAGTCAATTGAACAATTTCGAATAGGTAAAACTGGCAACCGAAACTCAGTTTGATTACTAAGGCGACTTTTATAGCGGTTTCTCATAGTAATAAAAGCTTGTCTATAAAGGATGGCAGTCCAGAAAGGCTTAGGCCTTTAGACATGATTTTCGTCACGCCGGTTTCATTCACGTAGACTGTAACTAATGCATGAGCGGTAATTTTAATAAAAAGCCTTGGCACACGACAAAGACGAGTCATTATACGGTGCAATTTGAGCAATGGTTTCAAAATGCACTCAATTCCATTAACATTCAAACGAGAAACAGGTGCAGACATCCGTCGTGTAACCGGTGATACCGATTACTGTCAATTCCCTCATGTATCATGCATGCAAAACAGACCCCTGACGTGTCTGACTTTTCTCGAAAAGAGATGTTTAATGCGTTTCAGTCTTTCCAGGGTATGAAACGTGGGATTCTCGAGTCTCGACAGACATTTTGCCCCCCTCGCACATTGCGCCGGTCTGCGGGGCAGGCCACGCGTTCAACCACCGCCCCAGCCGACGTTCTGCTCCGATGGGAGCGGCTGGACTCTCACATGCCACCGGCCCCTTCACACGTCTACCCGATAACAGCACTCGCACTACGGAGGCGCGAACCCGAACGGCCATTGATTGAAATAGATTGCTATTAATTGATTTAACACCGTGTTTACGGGCGCGAGTGTGAACATGCATCGCAGAAACTAGACTACGATGTCAAATGGGCATCGGGTGGAAGAAATATGACCCAAATAATGATGCGGTAGAGATAAATATTTTATTGGTACCTCCGGCAGAAAATGATATCCAAAACCGCAAGCTCATGTTAGTCTTTAATATGGCCTTCTTCTGAGGCATGACACGCAACGTGAACTTCTACCAAACCTTAAAGTTGGTGTACACGTGCTTTTTGGGTGTGGCACTTTGAAAAATAGATTTTCAAATTGAATTGATAATTTTCTAGCATTACATTAGTTATGAGCTTTCCAATGAGACATCGCACGAAAAACTCATCTCACGACAAGTAATCAATTAATTTATTCAACTGTCGAATTAAGAGCGGGACGCTCCTAATTCGTTCTGAAAATAGTGTGCGCAATTTCCGAACTTGAGCGCGCCATTAAAAACCACTTTTTAAAACTGTTTAAAGACCTGCAAATACAAACAAGCTAATTTATTTTTTACAGGACATTATGTTCCTTTAAATTTCGTTCGGAAAAGAAAATCTGAAAAAGCACGCATAGGCCTATATACTAACCTTAAACTCATTGCGCAAGATGAACAAGCACGTCTTCTTTTTAGAGCAACTAATAAAGTCTAAGTAATTTGAAGGAAAACAAAAGTCAAATAACAAAAAATAACATTCATCATCGATCACACCTGATAAACATCGGCTTACACCTTTAAAGAATTCACCAACATAAATGTATCCTTTTGTTTCGAATTGGAACTTGTTTTTTCCTAAACCTGTGCCGAGTGTTGTGTATTTCATTTTGTGGATGAACTAGCAGATGTCCTCGCGGGCATTTAACTCTCACACTTATAAGAAAATATTTTCTTGTTAGTATTTGTCACCGGATTGAAATTTCACACAAGAGCTGCCAATTATCTCGGTGTGTGTAATTGCTAGTCAGCACTGTATACACGAATGTTTGTTGGAATGCTTCGAATCGATAGCCGTTTGTGATCAGCACGCTTACAACTGCTTTCTTCTCGGCGCGCGTGTTTTACGTGCGATACCTGCGCTCCTCGGTGATTAATTTCCCGTTGAAGGTGACGCTCAAGGTTTAGCAATTTTCTCAAGAGTAATGATGTATTGATCGTCGTGGCAGTGCGAAGATTTTTGTGATTTCATTTTTTAGGGGGGGATTGAAGAAGAAAACCTGCTTATACCGTCGTAGGTGAGATCACAAATAGTGCTTCGAACGCTAGGCACGTAGACCGATGTCAGGTCACTGTGATCACTGCCTACTTTAGTGACATGATGATCTATGTTTTATTTTTATTTTTTTTCATGTGAGCTCGAAGTTGAACCGACCATTCAAATCATTTTAGTGTGTTTATATGGAACGACCGAAAACAAAACTGAGTCGTGAGATGACATGTATGTGCACAACAAAACTAAACTCACAGCTGATATGTAGAAGTAGAAGTGGTACCTTAATGACTGTGACGATTATGTAACCTGTGACGCTATACATTACTGTATAAGTGATAAAGAAAGGTGGAACAATTCAGTTATTTTTTACATGTATAAAAAAAAGTGGAACGTTGTATATAATAACTATTTTACCTAAATATATCTCTCGCACTGCCGCCGTGGTATCTGCTGTGGTAACGTAATATGGACCACAGATTATCAATGATGACGATCATCAAGTATAAATAGCTTTGATCGGCCGCGTGTGCTCTGTTTATAAGTTACAGACAAACACAATATTGATTTACGAACATTGGCACTTGATGTAAAAAAGAACACGATCTCTTCTTAAGTTGTTAGCTTCAATGTGGTGTTTTTGTTGTTGTTGTAGTAAAGATATTGTGCTTTTTGGTAAGAATATATAGCTTTTCAGTGGAGACACATCTTCAGATTTCATGTGCACTTATTTATGTATAATTATTATACATGTACGTACATTATGTATCCGCGTGTTTGCGTAAACAGTTTGAATCACGGTAGTAAACCTACATCTATTTTCTCCACCAATATGCAGTATTCTTGTTCACAATTGTGTGCGATGTAGTTAATAGCGTTATCTGATTGGTTTATTGTGAATTAGGGACATCAAATGTTTACAGCACTTTGAGCTCCACTATAGCGTTTGTGTACTGCAAAGCAGCATAACAGTTGAATAAAATGTGGCGTATTCTAAATGTAAGCCTAATTGACTTGTATTATTTTTTGTAATTCTTTGGTGCCGTGGTAAAAAGGTTCAAAGTAATCGGTTGTGGGCGTTTTTCTGCATGCATCTACCGGTACATTCCCGCAAAAAATGGTCCCAATCATTCATACGACAGAAATGCCCTTATCAAAAAGGAAAAGCCATTTTTAATACACATGTTTTTTTTTCTCAATACATTTCGTCCTGTTCAAGTGCCTCATGTCAATTGCCATTAAAATATAAATTGCTTTTTTTTCTCTCTTAATTTGTATGGTTGATTTAAGATGACTGTCACTGTTCGCGCATCGACTGTTACAATGCCAAGTGTGCATGGAGTTAGTTTTGATGTGAATTATTTGTTTTGAAAACAGCTCCGACAAACGTTTGTCAAACTCTTCATATTTTTGGTTATACGGCAAATCTGTCAAGTGGTAAGTGGCTTAGCTAAGATGGCCTTGGCAAGGTCAGTTCAAAACTGACAATCGATTTTTTTTTTACCAAGGAGGCACTATAAGGTTATATTTAGAAATGAAAAGTCGAAAAGTATTAGGCCTAAGTCAAGGTCCGAAGCGGATGATCTGTCGTTTTAACTTGGGATATGTTGACGAGGTCCCTGAAACAAGTTCACAGCAGGTGCTTTTTGCTGTGCACCAAAGTGAATAATCGCCTCCCCCCTTTTTTGTTAGCACTTCTATCGCACAATTTGCAATGCTGTTCTCTGTAAATGTAATCAAGTGTATCATACGCTCGGTGTGCACATGAAAGATAATAGACCACAAAAAAAGCTCCCTTTCAAATCTTATCAAAATAAGTACAATGTTCCGCTATAGATTTCCTGCGAGGGAGACAGAAAACAATATGACATTCACTTTGGGTCTTTTTATGCCCCAATGCAATGTTTTCGCGCGAGTGGCCATCCATTATATACGGCCCGTTGTTCAGCGTGTCACCTTCCCAAAAATTGCGCCGTCCCAAAATGCGCGCCAAACGATGCGGAAAATTGAAAATTTGTAGACTGTCCGTTGGCTTGACAGTGATGCACCTGAGCAGAGATTAGGAGCGGAGGATTCATGGTTATTCTGTTCGGGTGAGGGCCGAGATTAATGCAGACTGAACCTTCCCCAGTACATGTTAAGCAATCGTGACTTAATGCATTTGTACAGAACGCCGGCATTAGGGGGACTTCATCGACAGAAATTGAAACCCAAGCTGTCAGAATCGGGGAAATCTACTGTGGAAGGAATTTTTTCTTTAAAACGACAAGGCTTATTTTTTCTTTTACACGCAATTTGTACTTAAAACTAGCGGTTTTTTTTTCGTTTGAATAGATCCTGCGATTGTTATCTATTTATGCGTCTTCTGAATGAACAAGACTCACACGACTCAAAATAACAAGAAAACGACGATAGGCTGTGTGAAAGTCTGCGTTCAAATCAAGCTTATCAGGACCGGGGTATATAATATATTGTTTACGGGTCTTCTTAGACCCAGGCGGGGGGGGGGGGGACATTGTTCCTCATCTTAAATTCCATATGCGATAACCGATTTCTCTAACATTTGGCAGGAATGTTGATTAGCCGTTAATAATGTACAGTTATGACCTTATTACACAATTGGCACAATTTCTACATTTTTAATTCAAATACCTTCAAATTTGGTACAAACGGTTTTTGGGTTATTATCCATCAAATTAAATAAATTTTGGGTTTTAATATTACCGATAGATGGCACTATTACCACGGTTTGGGACAAATTCATCATTTTCGTGAGTTTGTACCACAATTTGACTTTTTGGAAACCAAAGGTGGCACTTTAATGAAGTACCGGTACCTTTTAATGATTTTATAAGTATTTTGCATTTGTTTTTCATACAAAAAGTCAAAACGTATCCCCAAAACAAAGAAAATTGTGCAGAAAAGGTGAAAATTTACTTCAGCAGCGTTTCGCACTTAATATGGCTGCCATAATGGATTCTGAGCATGCATTGCAGTTGGTCACGTGATTCTTGTAGATTTTTGATAGGTTCAAGCCAAGCAAACGTGCTTTTAACTAACACAAATGCATATAGGTTTTGTTTAATGCGAAATTGTCAAAATATTTTGATTACCAGTGTCTTTAAAATCGGTTGCCATAGTAACCATTGACATCCTTCACAATTTACTTTGGTAGCATAGTTACCCCGATAAAAGTTAGGAAAAATCACCCAATCAGCTAAACCGTTCAAGAGCGATTATAAGAAGTTTCACATTTTGCCCCTGGTCCTGATCATAGACGACTTGGAAAAACCTGGCGTCACGTCACCGACCGACGCGACCGTCAGTGACGGAGTACTTTTTCAATTTATCAGTTTCCAAATCACCAACTTTTGATACAAATTCAATGATGACATGGCAAGATGATCGACCATTTACGGTTTTTATCTACAACTAATTTAAGCAAAGCTCAGGCTCTACACACCAGGCCCTCGGATTCTGACATAATGGGCCCGTGTAAACTGTGACATCTACAACCCTTCCGGTAAGTAATTAGTTATTTAATTTGGTCAAGTGACATCTTTTGATGTTGTTCGCTCAGTCTTGACGAGTAGCCATGGCATTGCGTTGCGCAATTCCGATAGCAATGCATGTTTATATAAGTGCACTTCATGTTAAACATGGTCTAAAATACCAACGACAAAGGCGCCCTTTCAAATATCAGGTCCACTTAAAACAACTCAAACACATCGTAAGGGTACTTGCAATAATATTGGTTTAAGTAATATGTCCAAATAAAACAATGTCTGCAAATGGCAACTGCCTTGGCGACTGTAAGCACTCGTATGTTGATTTTTCTGATGAGATTCCGACTGATTAATGTATGTGGGTTGAGGCATGCTCGCCGTACCTACTCCATGAATTCCCTGGACCTGTCCATGATGCGGAGCTCCGGGATTTCAAAATGAAGACAAGCGGCTCACGACCGCCACTCAATGTCGCCTAGAATGAGCTGGATCATCGGTGTAAACTCTGGGCACGGTAACGAGAGCGCGTATACCGCAGCGGCGTTTTGGTGTCTCTTTCATCCGCACTAGCTGCCTCCGTGCATTTATACAC